CGTTGTACCGCGTGTACGAGCCGGAGTCGTAGGCGGGCTTGGGGTTGTGCCAGTATCGGCTGTTGTAGGTGTTGGTGGAGGTCAGAGTGTCGTTTTCCGAAGACGAGGCGTCGGCATGGAAGGCTTTCACCGAAGAGGACCGCTTTGGGGGCAAGTCGTCTTCCCTGGCAGAGTGGGAACAAACCACGAGGAACAAAGTTAAAGGACAGCCCAGCCAGCCCTGCAGATTCAGTCCAACAAAAATCCTTTTTGGGTTTTGCCAGCCTTGAATGAATGAAGAAGTATATAATAATGGTGCTCTGTAGCATGAACATTGTCAATCAGGAGGTCAAATTACAATACAACAGAACTATATCTTACCACTTTGATGAACAATACAGAAATGAGCTGTTTACTTCTCTAATGGAAGACAAAAAAATGCAATCCATTATTGTACTTCATTATTTTTTCAATGAAGTGATTTATTCCCATTATTGGAAGAACAGAAAAAAGTTCAATTTAACCTCAGGTTTAGCTGCCTCTGAGTGAGCAATGCACAGGTGAGTCAGGAACTGAGGAACACTTTATTGTAAGTGTGTGTTTCCCTTTAGAAACTGATAATACAGTATTTATAAATGGATCTATATTTTTTGGATTATCTTTTATCTTTTCTTAATGTTAAGTCAATTGAAAAAATACATTTTTGTAGCTATGGGCAGTTAATTTCCCTTTCAAATTATGCACATCATAGCTGGGAATTTTTTCAGCTTGCTTTTTATAAATATTCATCTGTTCTCATGTTTTTCACAAGATGGCAAGAAAGTTTACTTTTTTCCTGGGGGTAAGTACCAGATGACGTACTGTCTGTGAATAAGATTTAAAAAAAAGGCAAAGGCCAAGAAAAGCATGAAACTAAACCATAATATTACCCTGTCTGTTCTGTCCACAGCCAAAGGCATCAAATGTTCATTATATTTTTATCCATATCGAAATGATTTGTTCAATGTTAATTTTTATCCATCTTGGAATGATTTATTTAATGGAAGGGATGAATTGACTTTCACAATGACGATCAGTATAAAATTTCAATTTCTTGTCATGGAGACCAAGTACTGAGGTCTGGGCTTATGTGGCTCCTGGTGTAACTAATTTTGAACAGAAGACAAAGAAGACTTCAGCAAAACACTGGATCATGTGAAGCTGAATGCAGCTGAGCTTGGGAAAGAAGAGTCACCATTCAAACACGCGGCCAGTTTCGGCCTGCCTTGGCTTACAGCTGGAACGCTCTACAGTAGAAGCTAAGAACAGATACAACACTGTTGTCTTTCATCCTATTTTAGGAACATAACCTACAGTTTTGGCCTCAAGAGTTCACATAAATGCCCGGCCTCCTCAATGTGGAGAGTACCTTCTGATTGTGTTATTTCTCCTCCTCCAATAAAATATGATAAATTCAAGCTTATGGACTTAACATTTTATCCAGCTTATCAACAAAACATGCCATATCCACAGCCTATGCCACACCCACAATACTTACACAACACAATTACAACAGAGACATAAAAACAAGTTTTTAATGATACAGGTTGTGACAAGTTGCTTTGGATATAAGAATCAACCAAATTAAGAATTATTGTTGCCTTTGTTTTAATTTTGGTTTCATTATTCATCTAAGTCCAGTGATGGAACACATGTTGCGGTTCAGTCCCTCATCTTCTCTCAATAGCAAAGCCCCTACTCTTTTTTAGTGTCTACCAACTGGAACATTCGGCCAGGGTCAGCTTTGTACTTCTATATCAAAACGTGCAAGAATGACTCAGTGACTCATGACTCATCTGCACCAACAAACTTAAAAAACACATGACAAAAACGGCTTTGTGGCAGGCTCCAATTTGAAACCAGGTGGTTCAAGGAGCCTGAACACATTACAAAACTGAGAAAAGTCAAACTGGACAGTGCAATAGTATTTATTGCAGAGACTTTCAGGTTACACACTACAGACTTCCAGGAGTCTTACTTTACCCAGACTGCTGCAACACCTCCAAGAAAGCCACGTGAAAGCCTTTTATGTCCCCAAACAAAACGAATTACAGCCCATGTGAGAATGTGCTCTTCGCCACAACCAAGATCTCATTCATTCTCACCTACTGTAGCTATTTACATACAGTATAGCAGAGGCTTCAAAGGCTCTAGTGGCAGGACCTCTATTAAACCACCTCAAAGACTAATCTGCCACACTATCATCTGAAATGCAGAAAGTAAGCAGATTATTTCACAGTCTCTTTTTTGGAGTTCAAGAAGACAATAGAGAGTGTGAACTGAGTTAGAGCCGGCTCCCCCCTCAATAGGTACTATAACAATGATAATTTCCCATCGACTCAAATTTGAGATATCATGTACGATGAAGTTATGTTTGCCTCTCTTGTACTAAAGAAGCAAATAATTGGTTAATTGGTCAAGAAGTCAAGACCAGCAACTTAAAGTCCAGCAGCAGAATGTCCCATAGGTTTGGCAGAAGAAAAAAGCAAAATAACTCAGTTTGAGAATATATAGAGTGAACTAATGAGAGGCTTCCAGTATTTGGACTAATATTATTATGTTAAATTATTTATCTTCATGCTTTTAATATTATCTCTACCTGTAATTTTCAAACATTTTAGTTAGAAGAAGATGGGTTATGAGTGATTGATGTTGATTATTAGTGATTGATGTTGATCTAATGTATATGAAAAGTTGAATAGATTCTTTTGAATTTATTGGTTGCTACAACATCCTCCCCTTTTCTCTTCTGTAACCAGATCTTTGATTTGCTTTCTGATTAAATTAAGTTGTGAAACAAGACTATTTTACAAACAAGAATGTCACTGAAAGCAGTGTTTGAAAACTAGTTCATGGACATGGTGTTTATCACATAAATACAGTGTTTAAAATAAATATATATATATAAATAAAATGCCACAAGTCTAAGATCATTGAATAAGTAATCGTAACTAACTGACTCATTGTTAAGAACGGTCTATCAATGCCCCACCTGATCTCATTAGGGATTTCATCTTCTTCGTATTTGTTCTTGTTTTTCCAGTAGAACAGTGCGACCACAACTAGCAGCACACAGATAATGACAGCCAGGACGCCTGTGGCAATGGTGCCAGCGATCAGTCCCACACTCTGAGGCTGGGCTGGGAGGCAGGGAGAGAGAATGGCGTACCATGTTAGGCACCTTATACTGTAACCTACTGTATGCTTTACACCTATCCCTTAGTCAAACAGAAAGGTACATTGTAATGAAGTCTTTAATATTATAGGCTTTTCCTTCTTCAAGCAAAATCTATGCAGTATTTCTTTCTCATCAGGTTACTTGAAGTCTTTCTACTCAGAACCTGGTACAGCACAGGGACTGCTGTTGTGTTCTGGCTGTTATTTCATTCCCTAGATTTTTGTAGACCAGTTTTTCAGTACAATGTTTGTTTTGTAAAAGCAGGAAGATGGCAGAATATAAAAAAGCAGAAAGTCAGGCCTGGTAGATTTAGAGAGTACATAGATTATTCCTTTGTACTAACACAACCTTTGGAAAAAAAAAAACATTTCTTCCGTTATGAATTCAGTAAATCCCAGTTGTGCATGACGGTCTCTAAAATAAAAAATGAAATGTTTCCAGGCTGTGGCAGTTTATCATTGTGGGCCAAGTTTGGACATAACCCCTCCAGCACACTTAATAAACCATTGGTTTCCAACGAGAGGTCAGCAGTTTCCGCTCCTGGTCCCAATCTATCCCTTGATTATAATTCCGATGCAAGTCATGTGAATAGTCCCCTCAAGCTACTGGTCTGTGTCGTTACTGGAACAGAAGGGGCTACATTTCATTACCCCCTGGCTTTGTTCAGGAGTCTGTCTGTTAATGTAGCCGGGCATTGGTTAGATTTCATGCATGTTGCTCACAATATGACAGTATTCAGATGGGGCTAATTTCTGACAAGCACCATGTTCATCCAAGTAGTTTAGGAAATTGTCAGAATACAGAGTGCACCTCACCATAACTAGTGATGAGAGTGAGATCCCGAGATTTTTAAAATGCACAGCTAAAATCACATTAACAGTTTGCTTACAATGTAATTTCCATGCGTCGGTGGAAGAGAAGATGGAAATTAAGCCATCTGGCATTAAAATCAAACAAAATGACAAAAAACTAATTTTCTGTGTGCCGTGGGTTGACAGGAAGGACTGACTGACAGCGAGTGAAAAAAAAACAACAACCTTGCTTGGGCCAAAACATAAACAGCAGTTACTGTGTGGTAAAAGACGAGGGTGCTGTGCTTTCCTGTCTGTGTGTTGAGAATTGATGGAAAGCATTTACATAGTCCCTCTGATTGACAATGGTTACAGTATTTCAGTTTGCAACCATAATGAACTTGTGTCTCTCGGATAATTGACTGCTTCAGGTTTCGTGGACTTAAGATTTATCTCTATGACGTCATGGTGTGACAAAAGTTATGTAGTTAGACAAATAACCTCACTGCAACATCACATTAATGATAAGACAGGCGTGAAATCTAGCCCATTCTAAATATAATTTCTAATTAAAGGGGAATTGCAATGCTATTTTTATATTTTGGGTTTAGAAAGTTCAGTTCTTTCAGCTGGCCAGTATAAGACATTCCACAATTAAATTAGTATGTTGCGGTTCTGCTCATTAAACTATTTACTCTTGGTATTTCAAGTAGGGAGCTGCATCAGCATGCGTAGGCTTCAAAGGAACAAGTACAAGAACAAGAGCAAAGGAACAAAAGAACAAGTCTTTACTTATCTTTTCTGCTGAAAAGAGAAGAAAAGAAATACACCTGAAGAAGGCTCAAGAGCCTAAACATTGTGTTTCTTTTTTCTCTTTTTAATTCTCTACAAATTACTCTTCGTACAAGTGACACAATATTGACTTTGTCAGCTGTGACAATACCACCACAAGCTGCTGTAGATTTATACTGAATATTTCTCAGTACATCTGGTCCAAAATGTGTTTTCTTGACTAATCTGACACAATAATCAACAACAATGAACTGACAACCAATGGTGATAAGATTGCACTATGAATTCTGGGAAAGATATGTGAAGAACCTGATGACGGTTTGAAGGTTTTACCACACAGATTTACACACTTACGTGCTATGACCTGCAGGTTAAGGAGACAGGTGCTCTTCCCGATGGAGTTAGATGCGGTACACTGGTATATTCCCGAATTGGCTGTGCTGATGTTCCGTAAAATTACTGTACCCTGCATCTGATCTGGGAACAAAGCAAGCCGATTAGAGTCTGAGTCTTTGTACTCAAGCTGTTCAACACAAATAGGACACACGCAACAAACAAACAAACAAACAAACAAACAAACAAACAAACAAACAAAATGGTCCAGTATTTCTGAGTAACTTATTTAATACTCTGTTGCTGAGCAAGTTAACAAGTTAAAACTGGAGTGCAGAAGTATAACACCTACCAGTTCGTATAAAAAAAAATGACTTAGGTTCTTTATCAATCATTATTTTTTTAACAACAATTTTTGTAAAAAATAACTGGTCGATAAACACTTCCTAAAATATTTCTGACATGGCAAAAATGGAAAATGTTTTATACCTTGTACATGTCATAGTGTAGGAGGAAAGAAAATGTGTTTCATTTACTGTCAATCTGATGTTTTGCTAAAACAACTGAGTACAGATGTCAGAAACAAATCAAGTGGTTATATCCTAGGATTCATAAGGTTTTTGTTTTAATTACTTATATAATTAGATAAATGGCCTCAAAGCAACTCCACATTAACTTCACATTAACGATAAGATGGGTGTGAAAACTAGCTCATTCTAAATAAAATGTCTAATTAAAGGGGAACTGTAACAATATTTTTACATTAAAGAATCAGCATTAATGAGGGCATTTCAAACCACAATAAACGTAAAATGTGCCCAGTAACTTGTAAAACCTCCAATTTTTCTGATAATTTCCAGGTCGCATAGGGTCATGTTCTGTGATTCAGAACGAGGCAACAAAACTTCTGATGACATGAAACAGCCTTATTTCATTGTAAAGAAGCAGGCTTGTGAATACATCACTTTTAATCCAATATAAATATTTCTCTCGATTTTGAGAAATGTTTTGCCAAAATATACTACTTGTTAACACCGCATAAAGATCACATTGGAACATATCTGCAGTGAAACGTCTGCTGCACATTTTGTACTTATTTGCTCGCACATCACATTACATTAGTCATCGCAGTGACTAGCGAGCAGGAAGGGCTGCATCACGTTGCAGTTCGTGGAAACTCGAATGTGAGTTTGTGACAACATGGAGACTTAAAATACTTTTACAAAGTTCTGGATTTTGTGCTAAATGTTCTATAATGTCAATGAATTTATTAATTTGTGTTACCGAGATTTAATAACTGAGAAATTGGGACTGCAGTTCCCCTTTAACAAGATCATTATGCTGCTACCTTTAAGACAAGGCTACTAGCGGAACTTTGTGCCTGCAGGCATACATGACTAAAATTATTATTGATGCCATTAATGTATCTGGCTAACTTGGATAAAGCAAGAAAACTTAGAAAGGATTTCAACAAGATGTTATGCAATAAAAACAGCAGAGAAAAATACACTGTCATGAACATCACAGCAATCCTGTTAAAGCAGATAGTCAAAGCCAAAAAACATACAATTCCACATACAACTGAAAACATCCTTCACCATTCAGCTTCTCAAAATATCAAAGGGGTTTTTGCTTTTATTTGTACTCCCGAGAAATCTAGTAAAATCATGAGCATCACTGTTCTGTAACTGCAGTAGAAAGCCATCCTAGTATTAAAGGTAGCAGAATAAGTGGCAAACTGCAAAGTAAAACATGAAAAGGAGAAAAGCTAAGACAGCTAAGATGCTGACAGAAACACATCTACACTACTGGAGGTATCCTAACAACTCTACTGGCGGGGAGGGCACGTCCACAGTTACTCATACCACTACAGCTACACTTCATTTACCAGCAAATGCAGGGCAAAACGGCACTCCCGCAGACTGGAATTGTATACCTTGCATGGCCGTGGAAGGTAGCTTTGGAACAGACTCGAGTTTTTCCCAGGAATAGGTCGGAGTGGGGATGCCCTCCTCAGAACCGCACACCAGCATGATGTCGCTGCCGAGGTCCGGGCTGCCCTGGATTCGGCATGTGGGGATGGAGGGGGGCACTGTGGGTGGGACAGGAAGACACTGTGACATCACACCTTGTCGGGATATTTTCAGAGCCCATCAAAATGCGCCGGAATGCAAGCAAGACTTTAATTGGTTTTGGCAGAAACAATCCAAAGGAAAGCCACGGAAACTGAATTTGATAAAAATGTAGACAGAATACACCAAGTGTATCTCGTGACACATTGGCAAGGAAGGGTTGCACAGAATCTGTAGAGTAGCTCCAGCAAATTTGTTCCGTCAATCACAGTGGGCTTAAATAGATTGAGAGCACCTTTTGCTCATGTGTTCAGCACAGCACCACTGTCCCGAGTTCACCTCCCGGGTTCACCTCCACTTGTTGCGTTTTAATTCTTAAACCACAACTGGAACGCAATGAGTTTGTTCACAATGACAATGTAAAAACTTTAGAAGTGTCTAGTTCTATGCTGCTTTCAGTAAATTTCATATTTTCTTTTCCCATCTGAATTCTCTTGGGCCAGGGGGTTGCATTTTAAAAGGAATTCTGACCTCATCTTAATGGACGAACACACTGTAGGGCATCATTTTCTTGAGGTTCGTGTGGACAGATCCAAAAGACTTTACCTTCAGAAACTTAGAAACGCTGGGGTTCAGGAGCACCCAGACAGAACAATGGGTACCTGGCCAGGGACTGTCCATTAAAATGTGAGATAAAGCAAAACCTTCGCTAACTCACAAAGAAAGAAAAATAACAATTACATCACTGGACACACATCTTCAAGACATGCAGTAAAAGTCCACATGCTCAGAAGTCACCTAGCACTGTGAGTCCGATGACGCCGATGTTCCGGCCTCCTCTGTCAGGCAGGTTGTTGACCAGGCACTGGTACGTTCCCGTGTCAGACAGCTGGGTGTTGTTGATGAAGATGGAGGCACTTGTGCTGGGCATCGTGAAGACGAAGCCCACTCGCCCATTGAACTGGGCGGCTAAGCTGAACACCTGCCCACCCTGGTAGAGGATCACCTGCGAAGACGGGAAAAACATTAGCCTGGGTCCTTTTGTCTGGGACACCTGACATGACTCCAGAATGAGAAATATTACAAACGCTACAAAAATGCAACGCAAATGAAACTAAAACGATTGCAGCCCTAGAACAGAAAGAAAAAAACATCAATCCAGGCCGCACAATAAAACACAAATAAAAATCCTCTTACAATACAACATTGACTTTTCAACAGATGTACATCTTTCTCGAGCCTCATGTCCAATAAATAGTTATTGGACCGAAACAAACCATTGCTGTATATTTTCTAATTTCCCCTTCCCCAACTGCTTTTTTCCCCTTTTCACATTCCTTGGCCTACTCTCGAGTGATTCAAAAATACACCAGCTGAACTCTGAAGACCTGCGACAGACTGGCATCGCTCGTCCAGGGTGTATCCTGCCACTGCTGGCCCTGTATTTAGTGAGCAATAGGGGAAACAAAAAGTCGGGAAACTCATTGAGCAACAGCAGGTCGATGTGGACTTTTCTGCCCTAAAAAATGATTGCACTTGATGGCTACAAATGATTACTGAGGGAGGTAAACTCTGGGTGGCAAAGCAGAAACACGCAATCAGATTCTGTTTGGTTTGCCACAGTCAGACTTTGGCGGGCAACAAATTTTCATAGTTACTGTATGTATAGGGTTCTAGATGACTCAGAATGTGATAATATATGCAAAAAATATCCTGAAGACTAAAATAATACAACTTACTAGTGGTGTTAATATTGTACTAATATTGTTAATAATGTGTCAAACACTAAAAAAACATAAAACACTAAAATATGATAAATTAATCATAGAAACAGATGGTGGAGTCCAGGTATCTGACCACTTGACATTCTCCATTGATCTTTCTAAAGATAACCTTTCTCCAAATTTTACTGATTGCACTACAAAAGAGCAGACAAACATATAGTTGATTGAATTGCTTCCCTTGAGGATGTTACGAATGCATTTGTTTTTTTTAAAGACTAAAGAAAGAAAAAGATTCTGTCCTCAAAAAATTAAAAAAACAAAGACTTTCAGAAGCACATCCTGTGCACATCAAAGATAAGAGTCTCCTTCATAAAACAAAGGATGAGGTCCTCAATTTACTCAGGGTAGACCCAGCTGTGGGAGAATTTTTTTTTTAGATTTGATACATTTTAAAAATCAATTTTTAATCTTCTGTTAAAGGAGAGAGATGCTTGAATCAGTTTTGAAATCATTTCTCAGTGCAATGTGTTTCACCCACCACTAGAGGGGGAGGGAACATTACCACACAAAAAAGGGATAGGATATGGAGGCAATTCTTGAAATATTGGAAATACCAGGCTACAAATGACTATAAAACAGATGTGGATAATTATAGATTAGTTATACTTAGTAACAGCATTAGGTATATACAGCAAAAGTGAGAAATTAGGATTGGAGAATCAACATATCCCTATCAGCAAATGGTAAGCAAATTCTTATTACTGTACTTCACATTCTTTGCAGGAGATCAGAACTATTATGAAGCAAAATATTTTAATAAGCATAGGCAACACCTCTGTATTATTATTTTGACCCCAAGGGGTTGCCCTTGAAACTCTCTCCCCAAGGATATCAGAGAGTCACCTTCTCTAAACTCCTTCAAATCCAGACTCAAAACCCTCTTCTTCAGAAAAGCCTTTACTTAACTGGTTCCATTCTTCACCCCTCTGCTTTTCTCAGTACCACCCTCCCCGGTCTCCTCTGTGTGTTGTAATTGTGTTTTATCTTGTGTATTCTTTTTATTGTTGTTGTCATCCTGTAAAGCACTTTGAGAAGCCACTTTTAAAGGCGCTATATAAAATAAAGTGTACTGTATTATTCTTCTTATTAAATTTTGGTGGAAAAAGCATCTTAAATGTATTTGTACTATAATGATACTTGTACTAATGATACTATTATAATTGTTAATCTGTTTTCATATCCTTTGTGAAGTAATGACTGAATTGCTAACCATGACATGAAGCATATTGTGCCGTTATTGTCTCAGCAGGGGAGTTTAAAAAAGGCACTATGAGTCTTACTAAGGATGATGGAGTATCCAGCAGTCTCTCTACCATTCTATTATTTTTCTTATGGGATTAATTGAAAAAGGCATGGTGTGGTTACAATGCTTTATGTAGATACTATCAGTCTCACTCAGTTACTTACCAGGCACTGTCTGTCAGTTGCTCACTGTTTGCCCTCTCTGTTCTTTTGATTGAAAAATCCACAGCTTACACTATGTACTGTGAGTGAGTTTATTTATTGTGCATGTATATTTCCTGTGTGCAAAAATGGCCAGCGATCACAGGACAGCTTTGAAATATCTTATATATATAAATATATAAATATCTTATATTTTTTTATATGGCTCTCTGTGTTGTAAAAGTAAAGAATTATTAATTGCAAACAATGCAATTTCAGCATTCATCTGATTAATCAAGTAAATGTGATTGGAAGTGTGGATATTCACATGCCTCGCACTGTACAAAACTGTGCTTTGAATTAGTTTCATTATTTTGATAGACCAGTGACATAATTGCTGTTTGAAACTCTGAAGGAATAAAGTGTTTCATGGAAGTTAAAACACTTTCAAGCTGAAAAAGTGAAGGGAATAGTGCCCGTTTTGAATGAGAAACAAACGTGAGATAACCTTCACAAAGTTAAAAGGGAAAAGCACTGCAAAATGTTGATTAGAGGCTGATAGCATTTTTGTGGAAGAAATGGAGACAAGTACCTACTATTACCATACTAATTCTCTTATTGCACAGTCTCTCACACGCCAGTCTCATGTCTTCATGTGGATGCGAAGAGACCCTGTAGTGCAGGAGTCTCTAAGGAATGTCATGGAGAGTCTCAATCCAGTTAATCTTATAGTTCTCCTTAAATCACCTGTCCTCTAGAGATTAGGAACACTTCTTTAACCAATTTAATTCAATTAAGCAAGTAATGTTTCAATAGAAGCAGCATTGGTCCTCGAGGGCTGAAGGATATAACGCAAAGGCTGTGGAGCCTTTGTGCAGTCTTTCAGCTATGTCACTTGAAGAAAACTCCACAGCCGAAGCATTGTGTTTCTTTTCTTCTCTTTTCAGTATGGACTAAACCTTTACTTGTTCCTTTGCAGCCTTCGCATGCTGACACAGCTACCTACTTAAAGGATATTCTGATTTTTGTTCCAAATAATTTCAAAATTACTTACCACCTGTTTAATTAAATTAAACTTTAAATTGTTTCCGGCTTTTAGAAAAAACACCATTTAAAGGTCCCCTAGTTACCTATCTTTCTAGGACCAGGGCTGGAGACCTCAGCACTAATAGAACATATTGTTGTTTCCTTTATGGCTTTGTTATTGAAAACTCCAGAGTTAGTTAATGTTAGGTAACTCCAGAGTTAGTCTTTAACATTACTGCCAATGTATAACACCAGCCCCTCCAGTGAGAGACATGGGATTAACTTTTCTCCAAAGCAAAAAGAGAAGAGCCAGAGTCAGATGCCGTGCGATGATGGCAGCCCATTATCTCAGAGTTTTGATTCCTGCTCTGCTAGGATCGCACTCAAAACAAATTTGAAAACTAAACAATCTGTTGTGTTAATATTTGCAGCCAAATCCGTAATCTTGAAATAATGAAAACCATATGCTTAAACAAAACCAAGATACTGTATATGCTTGGCGACTTCAGCAAGGTCAGTTAGAGAAAGTTCAAACAGATACTGTACGCATCACAAACAGAACCAAAACCCGTGAGCCTGAGATAAAATGTATTTGGTCCATCAAACAAACTTGCTAAGTTTACACTGTTGACTAATATTTTAGTCACAAGGTGCTGTTTGTCTCTATCTGGCTTGTTTCAGATGGATATTTGAACAATCATAAAGATGAGGGTAAAAATAATAATTTTCTAATCTTCAAATGATAACTCCCACAAAATTAAGAGAAGCAATTCAGTTAAACACTATAAACACACATTGTTTACAGTCAGAATTTTCAGAAAAATGTTTATACTACTCAACAGTGCACCCAAAACCAGCCTGAGCTTGAGAGAAGAGAAACCAGCTTCATTTCCAGCAATATTACAAGCATATATGTGATCACTTGGTGTGTCTCTTTCCTATCTCAAACCCCAGGACAGCCACAGAGACCGCATGTTGTGCACCTTTACTCCATGGAGACAGCAAAGCAGACAAAGGGGACGGAAAAGCTCATTGTACAAGAGCCATCCGGACATAAAGTTTCCTACCCACAGCCAAAAACAGACTCTACTGTACTGCATGTCAAGTGAATGTTTACAGAAGCACTCATCTGCTGACAGCAGCCAATGACTCGGCTTTGCTCTGAGATCTGCAGGTCTCTCCTTTTTTCACAACAGCTGTGGAAGAGCCTCTAACGGATGCAGATTAATTAGTGCGGAAGATTGTTTCATTACGTGGATCAGGTTAACAGCGTATGAGGCAGGTGAGTGGGAGGGTTACTTCAAGCTGGGCCGACAAAGATAACAGCACAGAGAATGTGTGTGCTGATTCTGACTGCCAGGTGATGATGGGCCTTATTTAACCATTCCGTTCCTGCTTCTTTATTCATTGATCTGACAAGTGCAATTGTTTCAATGTGGATTGCTCTTCCAAAGCAATGTTTTTAATAGTCAGACAGAATTACAAATTCATGCGTATTAGTTTATTAGAATAATGGTTATACAGATATGGAAATGTAAATTACTACTTTAGATGGGGAATCAGATATGACAGTAAATTTTCCAAGCTTTTTTACTACACTCAACGGAAGGGCTGGGCTGAAGATGCCATGCTTCTGGCCTGTTTCCTTTCTGTCATTTTCTTACCCGCTTGAAATCAATTCAAAGAAGATTAAATTTTAAATTGAACTACAGGCAGTCTTGAGCTAGAGTTTTCTAAATTCAGAGTATGTTATTTGTTCAAAATGATCCATAAATAAAGAGGTGTGTGCCAACTCAATCTGATTTCAAGCAGTGTTATGAAACCCACATACAAATGCATTCCAATAGCCATCATTAGAGAAATGGGATGAGCTCGTCACTGATTACAAAATCTGTGTAGTGCCATGCCGATTCCAGAGCAGCATTTACTTATTAATATATGTCTTTTTCTACAAATCAGAGGAAAAAGAAGCACCTAGCCCATTAAGTAAATGATCCTTGGATCTCAAGTTACGTACTGTACCATTTCCTCAAAGGAGTATTTTACAATTTTAACATAACATTCCTGAATTTATATTTTAGATTTTTAACTCTATATCCTTTTGTCTTTTTTTTCTTTCCACACATTGTCCAGAAATTATGTGTCAACGTAACCACCTGAGTGATTTTCATAAGCAGACTCTTCAAGTTTGGCATTTCCCATTTTGCTTTCCTAGTTTGTTTTTGCTACCTCCACATAGTACGCCGGATGTGTTTACGTTAAACATGATCTGCCAAGCATTTGCCCAGCCTTGACGTTTATCTAAATCTTTTTGACTTTGGTTTGCTGCTTCTGCTGCGTTTGCAGATCCTCCTATTTTGTTATTATCTGCAAATGTGACGAGTGTCTCAAATAAGCCAGAAACCTCTGTGTCACAGACTGACACAGGCACAGTCGGTGCAGACAGTACCTGCTCTGGATGATTGGCGTTTGACAGTGGCGTGACCATCCAAATGATGTTGAGGCTGTTGAGTGCTGCGCTGGTGGTGAAGGTGCAGGGCAAGATGGCCGTCTGTCCCCTGGCCACCTGCACGCTCCTCTGACTCACCGTCACCTCTAATGACTTCACACAACCTGCAGCAAACAGGACAAGCACATGAGAAAAAGTGGTGAATACAGCACCATTGCAGATCATTCGGAATGAACAATAAAGGTTGTGGAAAGAGCTGGGGCATGAGGATGGAAGAGTGAGGGTATTTTTGGTCAGCCTTTCTGAATGTTCACTATTGTATGTTCACGCAGGACCTTCCTGTTGATTTTCCATCTTCTACCATGCACATAAGTTCCCTTGCAATGGCTTAGTTCTCTTTCAACGACGCTTTAAACAGGCTTTCATGCTTTGTGTTTTTATCATGCTTTGCCATAGTAGGCTTTAACATGGGAACTTCAGTTTAATTACTGTAAATACTTAAAACGAGCAGTATGCTGGTTTTAAACTGAGCAGAAAGGGGTATGCAGAGGGAATACAGAATATCATTTCTGGAACTTAAGCCTGGGGGGGGGGGGAATGAATGCGAATTAATTTACAAAAAATGATCCAGCAAGTTTGAATTTCATAATTCAAACGGTTAACATTCTGACATTCACTTGGGACCACATACATTTGGCAGATTTTGTATACGTGCCGCTCTTCAAATTCTTTTTAAATGTTGAGCTCAGTTGAGCTCACTGTCTTTTTTTTCTTCCTAAACACTGGTGTATAAAACAGTATTATGCTTATGGGCTTATCTACAGTTTCTATGGCATTTCAAATCAACTGCAATTCTTTGGTATCCTGTGATGTGTTCTTTCTTAGTACTGCCTGCCAGAAGAGTTTGGAGGATAATTCACTGTATATGATTACATATGGCTTTCATGTCCCAAAAACATTTCAAATGGTCTGGTGCCGTGCATGCCAGTCTTGTGTCTCGGCCAAATGTACATCACAATTTTAACGGACATCACTAAAATAGTTCTGTTTACAACGTGAGGAGAATTTCACTACTGTGGTAGCTGAGTGTGGCGAAATCAGACACATTAATCCAGGCTGTAACCTTTTAACCGAGAAGCTCCCTGTGTTTCGAGTAGAGGTGGCAAGCAGCCCATATGGTTGGATTCCGTTTGGCCGGTCTCACTCCACAACCGTCTTCTGTCTACTGGCGAACGGACACAACCAAGGCCGATCTACTCCGATGACAGCTTCCCTTGCTCTCGGTAACCTGAACCTTCTGTGTCTCGAAGTCCCCTACTCCTAGCCTGCTTTCTCCTAACCTGGGACTTTAACCGTTTTCCACTACAGTCCTGTCTCGCCATGAGACAGAACTTCCCCCTGAAGCTCCCTGTGTCTCTCCCAACCAGATCGGACGCTTAGAGATGCCTCATCACTAGTCATTTGTCTCTCAGACAGACCCTACTCTCTCCCTGGAGTAGGCTGCCTATAGTGTAGCTCATTCCCCTCCAGGATTGTTGTGTAACCCAGGGTTTAGGTGGAAACTTGTGTCACTGTCCCCATGACTGAGGACAGTCTCATCTACCCGGCCTCTCACTGGGAGAGCTGGTTTGGTCTAGCTCCTGGTGAGCAGACTGCAGGAGACTCCCCATGACCTCTGTCTCTTGCTGACAACCCTGACAGGTCTGACACCCCTGAGTTGCCCTGGACTGATTTCTCCCTTAACCCTATTGCCTGGTGAGTTTGGCTTCATAGCCATGATCCGAGTTATTTAGTACCCTCGTACCTATGTGATATTAACGCATTCCTATGTATATCTGGTGTGTCTCACCAGCGCCCTCTGGTGGATTAACCGTTCAACTAACACTCCAGATCCTGTTGTCCTCTCACAACTACAGATAAAAAAAACTTCTACTTCTGTATTGAGCTGAAAGTCTAAACTTGTACCATTCACTGAGACCAATTAATATACTTAAATAAGATTACAGTATATGACTAAAATTAGAGTATGTGACAAATGTGATAGATTATGTACAACAGTATTGAGTGGAAAACTTTGAAAAAGGTTACAGCTCTGTGCCAATAATACAGCAATAACTCCAGTGAATGATGTTTGTTCTTGACTATACAAGGAAGATTTGAAGGTAAACCTTAAATGCAGCTCTTTACATGGTCTCTCCTGTACTGCAAGATGGGATGTAAGCAAATGAAAGAAAAAGTATATTGTTTTAAAATACTTCACTTCAAAAGATTTCATTCAAAAGTGTCACTGAAAAATTAAATGCTACAAACAGCGTCTATTTTAAAAGATATATTCATGTTGAATATAGATATAGAGATATAAAATATAGGTTCGGAGATAAATGGGGACAGTGAGCATGTGAATTCAAAGGGGTAAATGCACTCATATAAAGGAATATCCTTTATGTATGCTGGGCAGCAAAATAAATGGATTCAGGACAATTATTAATCTGAAGTAGTACTGGATTCTAATAACGGTCTGTTACTTTCACAGCAGAAGGTGAAGAACTACCCAAACCTAAAGCAGTTTCATCAGGAATGGATGTGTTTAAATGCACAGTTAAACTGATTGTAGCTGTGATAGAATCCTACATAAGGGGACTGATTAAGATTCCTATTTTTCCTATTTCTATTCCAACTCCAATTCAGGAAAATAACAAGTGTCTTTCCCTTTTGAGATGGTGACAGCTTCTGAGGATGGAGATGGACAAGTATGCATTAAATAAAGAAAGAAGGGTACTATTGAAAGGTTCCAGTCACAAAAATGTTGCCATAATGCTGGTACAGTACCTTAGAAACCAAGGCAACCAAAGTCATAAAAAAACGTTTTTTTTTCAAGCACAGCACAATGTACCGTAAGACAGCCTAGAAGATGACCTTTTCTAAACAGAAGATCCACAGGGAGGTAAAACAATATATGGAAGGAGAATATTGTTTTCTGCACCTGCATCAGAGCATCAAAAATAAGTGTTTTTAATATAAAACCAAGACACAGTGTCTCAGTAATAAATACAAAATCTGTTAGGTGAAATTATGATAAGCTGCTGTTATTAGTCATATTAAGGATTAGAAAATACAACCAAAAAGCAAATAAAATAAAACTATAGATTTTAAGATCTCTGTTATAAAGATACACTCATAAACCTGGATGATAAACAAACTGACAAGGTGACAAATACTCTATGTCCTCCGCTTGACTTGCAACAATTCCATGTAAAGTCGCGATGCACTGCAATTCTAGTCGCTGTTACATAACTGAATGTTTAGATAATTACTGGAAATTTCAACAGTACATTACTTCAATGTTCAAGGTCAAAGGATAGTGAGAAAGAAAGGTTACAAATGAGACAATGACATTCAGCCTTTCTTGATACAGTATCTTTGTGCTTACAGAGAATGAACACGTGTTTGGCCTTGATGCTATCAGCACCATATTAACTTCTTATGAAAACTTGCTAATTCATTAGATAATGCAGCACAATGCCTATAATTAAATTATACCGAGTATGCATGCATCAAGTCCTTGGACACCACATTCCATGATGATAACATTAACAAACTGCAGAGGTAGGAGTAGGTCAGTAACCAGCTGCCACTTTATCACTCGCAGATTGCTTTGTGTTCCCTATCTTTTGTGCTGAAATTCACTTCCTACACATTAGTTCATTAAAGCCTTATTCCCAAAAACATCTCTATCAGAAGAAGCAAAACGAAAGCAAAGAAATGGATGATAAAATACAGGGGTATAACAGATTACCGACACAGGAACAAGTAACGGTTAATTCCATGCTTAACAGTCGAAAGAAGAAATACAACGTTTGGGCTGTAGAACCTTTTTCAGGTGTGTGAGACAATGGAAGATAGCAGGGATGTAAAGCATGGAAGAACAAATGACAAAGGAATGGAGGAGAGGCACAGAGAAGATGAGTAAGAATGTCTTAACACAGGGAGATCAGGGGAGAGCTTCTAAAAACAAAATAGTTTCTCCTGGTGAGAAGGCAGGTGTGATCCAAGTTGAAGCATAATCTTTGTTTCTGATGTCTTTCAGGAGTTGGGTCTGAAATCCCTGAAAAAATATACAGACAGAAAGGGGAGTGACATCAAAAAGTGTTTCTTCTTTCTACTTTTCAGCGAGAAATTAACCTTGTCTTGTACGTCATGTTGCCAACAAATGCAGATGTAACTCTCATCCCGATATTTAAATATAGAATGACAGGAACTACAGTACATTTAGGTCTAGGCTTAAGTGTGTGCACCTCTGCGGCAGCCGGGGCAAAACTGTTTTAAGTAGTGCTTATTACATTAATGAGGTTAAATTTATGGGTTGTGCCTACTTGCAGATTGTTGGAACACCAACAACACCAAGAGAAATATGTCCACCAGCCACTTTATATAATCAGATGCTGCCATTGCAAAAAACTTCATATCAAGAAAAATGTATATCAATCCTCAGCATCACGGGCGGAGTGGTGGCTCTGTGGCTCAGGATCTGTCCCTGTGGCTGGCAGGTTTCTGGTTCGAATCCTGCAGCCGGCAGAGGAATCCTACTCCGTTGGGCCCCTGAGCAAGGCCCTTAACCCCAACTGCTCCAGGGGTGGCTGACCGTGCTCTGACCCCAAGCTTCTCTCCCTGTCTGTGTGTCTCATGGAGAGCAAGTTGGGGTATGCTAAAAGACAAATTCCTAATGCAAGAAATTGTATAGGGCTAATAAAGTGATCTGATTTGATCACAGTTTGGTGGCGAATGCAGTCATCAGCATAAGTGGAATTATCTGGGGTAACAAGATAATTGTTCTTTCACAAGAAGAAACTGAATGCCATCTGGAACTGGTGAACGGCAGTCAATAAAAGAACATTTCTGTAAAGAATGAAGATCTCTGTTCTGGAGTAGGACTGTGGTGTCTCTGGACTTCCCTAAAGAAGTCAGTTTATATTGGTTTATGGTTCCATCCCAAGTTGCTGACGGTGAGGAACACCCAGTTCTCTGTGTAAACCACAGATTATTGCCCAGGGAATGGAAGCATGACATTTTTGGGGAAAAAAAAGTGCTTGGCCACAAAGAGGGAGAAATACGTGCTGGGAAGTCACTTCACCATGCTTGCCTGGATGAAGCCAAACTTCTAGGG